CGGGGGGCACGGCCGTCGGCCCCCGAGGAGACGCCTCCCCCGGCCCCTCGGGGGGGCGGCCGCCGAGCGGGGCTGCGGTGGACGGTGACGAGGGGCCCCCCAGCCGCCGGCGTGGCGGGGAGAGCCAGCCCCGCAGCCCGGGCGGCGCCGGGGGAGATGGCAGCGGGAAAGAAGGCGAATTCCTCGGGAAACCACTTCGTCCTCGTTAGCAAAGAGGAGACAAAACCCGCCGGGCCGGCAGCCCCCAGGCTGGGAGCCCACCCTGCGGGGAACGTCGCACAGAGCCGGGAGAAGAGCAAAGAGCAGCAGCTTGATAAGGAAAACAGCGACGGGGGCCGTAACGCCATCGACGGGGGCCATAACGCCATCGACGGTGCCCGTGCCACCAACAACAACAACGGTGCCCATAATGCCATCGATGGTGCCCGTGCCACCAGTGCCATCGACGGGGGACATAATGCCATCAATGGTGCCCATGCCACCAACACCATCAACGGTGCCCATAGAGCCATTGACGGTGCCCATGCCACCAATGCCATCGACAGGGGCCATAACATCATCGATGGTGCCCATGCCACTAACGCTACCAACGGTGCCCCTGCTGCCAACGCCATCGATGGTGCCCCTGCTGCCAACGCCATCGATGGTGCCCCTGCTGCCAACACCATCGACGGTGCCCATGCTGCCAACACCATCGACAGTGCCCGCATCGCCAATGCCATTGACGGTGCCCATGCTACCAACACCATCAATGGTGCTCATATCACCAACACCATCAACGGTGCCCATAACGCCATCGATGATGCCCTTACTGTCAACACCATCATGGGGGCTGCGGTGCCGGGTGGCCAGGGCCAGATGCTGGGGGTGACACCAGGAGCAGCTCCCGGGGTTCCTGCCACCATCGAGGAGCGGGCAGGCAGCCACAGCCCGGGGACACACAGGGTCTTGTCCCTGGATGTGACACTTGCCCCCCGAGACCCCCAAGCTCCCGGCCAGTTTGGGCACCCCGTTGCTGTCCCTGACGATAAGCAAGAAGAAGCAAAAAGCAGGTGGAAAGAAGGGAACTTTAACGTCTACCTCAGCGACCTGATCCCCGTAGACAGAGCCATCGCGGACACCAGGCCTGCCGGGTAAGACCCTGCACACGTACCTGTGCCGTGGCCACGGGGACCTGCTGGGTGGCTACTGGGGAGGGGTGTGGGGCACATCACAGCCTTGGCTTCATGCGTGCTCGCTGTGGGGCAGCTTTGCCTTTCCCGGTTGGAGCAGCTTATTATTAATTGTAAATCTGGGTAAAGTTTGCAGGTGGCTTTAATCCGCTGAGCCCTGCTGGCCTTGTCCTGGGGCACACGAGGCGGGCGATGGGGCTCAGGCCCCGCTGTGCCTGGCGTGTCAGGGCACACAGCAGCCTGCAGTCGAGGTGGTCCAGGGGACAGCCCCGGGTGCCACCCGGACCCGCGGGCAAAGTTTTGGGTTGGAAAACGGTCATTCAGTTACAGCTGTCCTCACAAAGTGTGTGGCTGGTTCTGCAAATCTCAGCATTGCACTTAAAAAAGGCGCTCCCTCCCCCAGAGTCCCCACAGGGAAGGGGGGAAGGTGATGGCAGCCCCTTGCCGATGGAAGGGGTGTGTGGCCAGAGGGAGTCCCATCCCGGGGAGCGCGGGGTCCAGGGAAGGTGCTGGTTCAGGTGAAGGGCACATTTGTCTAATACTTGGCTTTTCCTGCTGGAAACATCTTGGCCGGGGGGAGACCTGCCCCAGGCAGAGACCCTCCCGTGTCCCTCTGCCCGTGGGTTGTGTGTCCCCAGTCCCGTGGGACAACACACAGGCATTCCCAAGGTGCTGCGGGTGCTCGTGGTGAGACCCTGCACAGGGAGGAGCGGGGCAGGGATGGAGGGGAACAGCCACAGCTTTCACCAGGCAGAAGGTGCCAGCTCCCGAAGCCACACGTGCACAGAAGAGAGCCGTGGGGGCTGTGTTTGGTCTGTGACAGCAAAGCCCTGGAGCTGTGGAGCAGAAACCACCTCCCTGGAGCTCCAGTAAGGACAGCCCGGCTGTCCCCGGTGACTGTGGGTGACGCACCTGCCCGGGGGGGGACGGCACCGCTGTCGGCGTCACGGGGAACGCCTTGGCCAAACAGGGGCACGGCAAGGATCCGGCTCACAAGCAGCTGCTGGCACTCTGGGTGACCAAACAGCACCTTGCTTCTGTGCTGGAGCCTTCCAGTCTCTCCCAGTTTCGAACCCAGCTCCTCTCGTCATCCTCACTGGGAGTGCTGGACCAAACCGCTGGAATTTGGCCAGCAGGAAGTTTGTGGCAGCCTTCCAGGTGCCACGCTTGCTGCTTTCCGAGCTGTACCCGCCGGGCAGGGGCTGGCCAGGCACACTGCCCCTGCAGAAATGCCTGCAGCAGGACTCCCATCACGGAGGATGGAGATGCACAAGCCCCACAGATGCCGGCCAAGGGGTAGCCAGGAGACACGCAGGGAGCTTGCCCTGCACAGAGCCTGGCAGCGAAGGTCCCTGCCTGCCTCTGTCCTCTCCCTGGGCTACCCCACAGCTTCTCCAGGACAATCCAGTTATCCAGGTTTAGAGAGGGACACAGATTTCCTGGGTCCCTGTATATAAATGTCACACAATGGGGTCTGGGTGGGTCAGCCTCCATGCTGGGAGGTGTGGGGAGGGCCCCCTTGCTGTGCCCACCAGTGGGGAGAGGACGGGGCTGGGCACCCTTGCAGCTCACATCTTCAAAACTCTGGGGCAGCAGCTCTAAGGTGACGTTTTCCCCAAAGGATCTTTAGCTCCTTGGGAGCCCACGTTCCCCTGGCTTTCAGGGTGGTGTCCATGGAACATAAAGGCTGTGGGCTATTTTTGCTTAAAAGACTGTTTAGGGCTGGAATTTCAAAAGGATTTGGCTTCTACTTGAGTTACATATGTTAAATATTGTATATGCATATATAAAAAGATATGTATTTACCTATTGTTAGCAAAGAAGTGGAGCCCAAACTCACACTGAATGTGGTGAAATGTCTTTAGCTGGGGGTCAGCAGTAACAAACCCGTTGGTCTCTGCCTAGAAATCCTACATAATACTGATTAATTTGTTCTGGTGAGGCCCTCAGCAGCCCGTGATCCCATGCCCCACAGGCACTCAGAGCATCCCAGGATCCTTTCCCCGCAGGAGTCCCCAGGGCAGTGGTGCAGGGCTGGGATCGGCCTTGCTCTGCGGTGCCTCTGCACTGTTTGCTCATGGAAAGGGGATATTATCACCCAGTGGTGGGGACTTAAGAGGTCCCCATTAGAAAGGAGTGAGTGCACCCCATCCCTGTGTGGGGCATTCCCCCTGCTCACCCCTTTGCTCCTTCCCCCCAGAAAGCCCCATTTTGGAGGGTTTGCCTCCCAACTTTCGGCAATTCCCCCCTCCCCATGCCTTTTCCCAAAAAACCCTGAGCCCAGAGATTTTTGGGAACGTGCCCTGTGAGCCCGCGTTGCCCTTGCAGGTGCTCCCAGCAGCGGGTCCACGACGACCTCCCCACCACCACCATCATCATGTGCTTCGTGGATGAAGTGTGGTCCACCCTCCTCCGCTCCGTCCACAGCGTCCTCGGCCGGTCCCCTCCCCACCTGATCGAAGAAGTCATTTTGGTGGACGACTGCAGCACAAAAGGTGGGGGAAGCTTCTTTATGAAACTAATATAACTTGGGGCTAAAATACGATTTGTTCTCTGTAATTCAATTCCGAGGAGCAGAAGGAAATGGCATTTTCTCCTTTCCCTGTCTGGAAGCGCCGTTATCTCTCCAGATGAGGGGGATCACAGCCGTTTCCAATGGTATCGAACCATTGGCTCTCTGCTGGCTTCGGCCCTTAAAACATTTAGGAATGATGTAATTTTCCAACTGCTGGTTCTTCAGGGAAAAAGTGCTGTCTCAGGCAAACTGCAGAGCTCGTGCCACGCATACACAGAGCCTACAATGCAGCCAGACAATAGATGGAAAAAAAAAAAAAAAAAGAGAAAAAAGACTCACTTTGCTCATTTTTAAAGTAACCATGTTTTTAACCATTTCCCCTCAAAAGCATCTTTTCAGGTTTTCTATTTACTTTCTCCCCGTGGCTTCCTCTCTATCTCCTTGATAGCCAGAGTATCAGAAATGCAAACAGTTATATTCTCCTGGGGCAAAAAAAAAGGATTATCCATGAATCCCAGTGGTGAGGGCAGTCGGGGGTCCCCGCAGACCCAAGTGGTGGCTGTCACCTAACGAAGCACAGCTGCAGGACCCCAGCAGAGGTTCCTCGAGCCAGGACCAGGCCAGCCCAGTGCTCGAGTCCCCCAGACCACCCTTCTCACACCCTCTTCTTCCTGAGAGTTCACCACCAGCTGCCTCCGCAGCCACGGGAAGCTGACAAAAGCAACCTCAGAAGCAGGGGTGTGCCCCAGCAAACCCTCCTGCGGTTCAAACCCAGGCTGAGCCTTTAAATGTGGTGCTTGATATTGAGAAATTTGTGAAGCACATCAAAAACTATTTTTTTAGGGAAAGAAAAACGGTTCAGAGCGGATTTTAGTGGCAATTATAGAGCAATGGAGAAAAAAAAAAATTATAGAGTCTTTGAACAATTGTTAAACCACTCTGTGATTCTGTGAAATTCATCAACTTCAGCCTAAACCTGCTGGCAGTGACATGGCTGGGGGTTTCACCAGAGAGCAGGCTCAGACTGTGATGCTGTGCACCAGGAGCCCTGCAGCTGTGCCCAGATGTTCGTGCCTCAGACCCGAGGACCCTGGTGTGTCCTGGAGGTGCTTGCAAGGAAAATCTGCTTGCTGCTTTCCACCCTGGAATTGGGTGTGAAATGGGTAAGTCAACCTCTCCTTCTTTCTCCTTCTCTGCAGAGTACCTGAAGGAGAAGCTGGACAGATACATGTCGCGGTTCCCCAAGGTGAAGATCCTCCATCTCAAGGAGAGGCACGGTCTGATACGGGCCAGGCTGGCAGGAGCAGAGATCGCCAAAGGTAGGACGAAAGCCCTGCCTGGGCCCCCTAAAGCCACCTCCAGCACTGAGGTTTAGTCCCCTCCCCATGAATTACGGGCATCTTTTCCGTACACAAAGTGTGAGGGTCTGACAAGGGGGTGAGCTGCAGCTTGTTGGGATCTCCAGCCATGGCCAGGCTGAGTTGGCCCCTACTTGGCCATATCTGGCAGCCCATGATGGCTGGGCAGTGAAAACATGCTACAGCTGGGAGGGTTTTGGGAGCCAGGGAGGGTGGTGGCACCCTCAGCAGCACCCCAAGCCCACGGGGATGGGGATGGGCCCCTGATGCTGCCCCGGGCTCTGCTGTAGGCACCGTCCTGACCTTCCTGGACTCGCACGTGGAGTGCAACGTGGGGTGGCTGGAGCCGCTGCTGGAGAGGGTCCACCTGAGCCGGACCAAGGTCGCCTGCCCCGTCATCGAGGTCATCAGTGACAAGGACATGAGGTAAGGCCCCCCGGGAAACCCCAAATCCAGTGGCTGGAGCAAACCCTCTTACTGGGACCACCAGCACGTTAACTACAGGAAGACACAGGTCCAGAGCTCCTAACTGGCCTTCAGCAGCGTTTCTCAAGAGGTACGTAACATTGCGGTACACCAGAAATTACCATGGGTGGTGGACATGGCCCCCTCATTTATCACACACGCTTTTTCCCTTTTTCATGACTTTTAGTACATGCAGAGGATTCCTGATGAAATTTGTTAAAAATCTGATTTAATTATGTACGGATAGTCATCTTCACTCATTAAGGGTGACATTTCAATCAGGAATGTGACTAAGAATTAGTCATCCCCATCTCTTCCCTGTTTAGCTACATGACCGTGGACAACTTTCAGCGTGGGATTTTCACTTGGCCAATGAATTTTGGATGGAGGCAGATTCCGCAAGAGGTCGTCGAGAAAAACAAAATTAAGGAGACTGATATAATAAGGTAAAAAAAGCAAAGGTGAGGGCTCTGTGGATGAAACTTTTAATAATTTAGGAACAAAAGCTCCTTCCAGGCCAAATGTTGTGTCTTTGCTTGTAAGGACAGGGGAGGCAGTGGTCGCTGTGGGCGGTCACGTCACCAGACACGGGCACAGCCTTTGTCCTCCCTTGAGGTACTGATGGCGTTTTGCTGGTGCCACCAGGACCAGGGGACATACCATTGTGTGTTTCCCATCCATGCCCAACTGCAGCTTTCAGGCTGGGTAAAACCACCCAAATACCCTCTATTTTAACGTTTTATTTAACGTTGCACCTGCCCACCTGCAGAAAAGTGGTGAATTGGGTGATCCTTGCTGTCTCAGCACCGTCCTTGAGCATTTAGTAGCCACAGCTTCTCAGTGATTCCCTCGTCAAAGCAAAGCAAAGGGCTGGGTGCTTCCCCACCAGCTGATGTGGCTTCTCTCCTCCCAGGTGCCCGGTCATGGCAGGTGGCCTCTTCTCCATCGATAAGAAGTACTTTTTTGAGCTGGGAGCCTACGACCCAGGACTGGATGTTTGGGGAGGTGAAAATATGGAGATTTCATTCAAGGTACGTCGCTCTGGGTGGGCTGCCCCCCACGTCTGCCTCCCTGCCAGCCGGGCTCGGGTGATGGGCTCGGCCCCACACCGGAGACCCCATCCCTCTGGGCATCTCTCTGCTCCTCTTCTGGCTTGCACAAAGCCAGCACCCAGCACAAGCCCTTGTTTCTACCAAAGCAACCTGTGTTTCTCAGGTCTGGATGTGTGGGGGAGAGATCGAGATCGTTCCCTGCTCCAGAGTCGGGCACATTTTCAGGAACGACAATCCTTACTCCTTCCCAAAAGACCGGGTGAGGACGGTGGAGAGGAACTTGGCCCGTGTCGCGGAGGTCTGGCTGGACGAGTACAAGGAGTTATTCTACGGCCACGCTTACCACTTGGTCTTAAAAAAACTGGATGTGGGCAACCTGACTCAACAAATCCAACTGCGGAAGAAGCTTCAGTGCAAAAGTTTCCGGTGGTACCTGGAGAACGTCTACCCGGACCTGGAAGCTCCCCTGGTGAAAGCCAGTGGGCTGGTACGTACCTAGATGACTTATCCTTCATTTCAACAGGTTTTCAGTGGTTTTCACTGGGGAGCATCCCAGTACGCCATCTCCGAGTCGCTTCCCTGGTGATACTTTTGAATATTTCCTGTGTCACAGTGGTCTGGATTTCCCCAGGGTTTTTATAAAGAAATAATCTACGATTTTAAGAGGCAGTTTCCCGTGAAAGAGCCAGTTCTGTGTTTAAACGCCAGATGAGCTTCAGGGAAGAGCGATGGGCAGGGGCAGTGCCTGCAGGGCGGGTGGTCCAGCACCCCCCTGTCCCCCATGTCACGTTTTGGGGTGGGTTAGAGATGCCCAGGCAGGACAGACAGGACAGGCAGGACAGACAGGACACACAGGACAGGCAGGGTTTGCAGCGGGGCTGTGCCACCAGCAGAGCGCAGCAGAAATCCGCTTTTCCTCTGCTCTGCCTGCAGAGGAGCCGGGCAGCAGAGCCCTGGCATCTCTCCAGTGTGGGTGAACCTGCTCCTCAGGAAGGGCTCAGTGGGCAGAAAACAGCTTAAAAGTCCATTTTGGGTCAAGTCCTGCCTCCCCAAGCCCCTGGGTGGCTGATCCGGGCCAGGCTCCGCTTCTCCTCCAGCTTCATGCGAGGGAACTCCCCGTGTTCCCTGGCATCAGGTCCTGCTTCTGCAGCCACTCCATGGCTGTTTGGCATCACCTCACCCACTTTAAAAGGGGAATTAAACAAGAATAAAACATGAGTTCTAAATTTGGCCCAGCTCTGAGCCTCAGCAGAATGTCACCTGCTGGTTTGAACATTCAGAAACCTCCAGTATTCTGCCCAGAAAAGATCCAGAATTGATTGCAGGCTAGTTTGCAAGGACAAAAGTCAAATATCTGGTTTGTCAGAAAAATTACAGCGATGCCAGGGATGAAAACTGAAGGGTTTGCTGCCCTCCCTGCCCACCCCATCTCCCTGTGCCATGGCAGGAGCAGCATTGCCGAGCAGAGGTGGCCGGGCTGCGGTGACCACAGGGCTGGCAGGGCTCGGGGAGCGAGAACAGGAACTGCCTGTCCCCCCCAACAGTGTCCCCGCCAAGGCATGTGGCCTCCAGTCGCTGCACCAGCCCTTTGGGGAGCCAGGAAAAAGCACAGCAACCATTTGGCTCCGTTTCAGGCTGGTCCGTGGGCCAAGGGCGTGACGGTGAAGGTTGCCCGTGGCGGGGATCCCCAGGGATGGGGTCTGCCTCTCTGCCGCCACGACGGAGCAGGGATGGAGCCGGGAAGGTGTCGGGGGGTGGCTGTGCAGAGACCACGGGGAAGGATGCCCTGCTTCCTCCATCAAAAAATGGAAATTTCTTGAGAAATACTCACTTTTCCAGCTCTCTTGTTTCAATCGGAGCAATAAAACTCCATGTCAAATTCAGTGCAAAGCAGCCAGACGGCATGGAGAGACCTCTGCGTCAACTGAGCCAAAACCTCAACTTTTCAGAGGTGTTTGTAAAAGTTTTCAAGATGTTGCATTGCTTTGTCCTGATTCAGGCCACCTGAATTGCTCTTTCGTCTTCATTCTCAGAATTTAATAGGGCAGAAAATCTGTTTTTCAGCTTGCTCTGCAAATTCCAGCTGTGCTGAACACTTTCCAAAGTTAGTGGAGAACTTTTTTCTGAATAGCCTATTTATTCACCAGGATTAATTCTTAAATTCTCCAGAAATTCTGAAAAAAGGCAAAGGAAGGACGTTTGCAAGGAATCGGACATGAGCAGGCCTGACCAAGGCACCACCCCCTGACCAAGAGTCCCTCCCCAGCTTTCCTGGAGCCCCTTGAGGGACTGGAAGGGGCTCTAAAGTCTCCCCGGAGCCTTCTCTTCTCCAGGCTGAACCCCCCCAACTCTCTCAGCCTGTCCCCACAGGAGGACATAGCGATGGAGCCGTTCCCCAGGGCCACTGAGGGGTCCATGGCAGGTGACCGGGGCCCTGGGTGTCACCTGGGATGGGACCAGCTGAACCCAAGATGGGACCACCAGGCTCTTGCACCATCTGGTGGCTGCTCAGCACATCAAGGGGAGGGCATTCTGCTCCCAGTTACTGCTGGGAGCTGTTGTTTTGGGGATTTGCAGAACAGGAACACTAGCTACGTCCAAAAACAACCCAAAAAAGAGTGTGTCTCATCCAGCCTTGAACGTTTCTGGAAAGGGCTCATTTCAAGCTCCTCTCGGTAGAAAAACATGTATTAACAAACCAGATGTGCCTTTACACACCCCTCCAAGGACCATGACACATCATCTCTGCTTCGCTCAGTTGAGTGGACAGTATTACTCAGTGCCCTGTGAGCCCAGCAGGTTAACTGTGGTGGAACAGCCTCTCCTCCCTCTTGGGAATTTATGTCTAAATTTGCATTTTGTGTCTGTTTTCCAGCTTGTTAACATAGCCACGGCGAGATGCATCACTGTGCACAACACCACCCTGGCTTCTGAAGCGTGTGATGTTAACAGCAAGGTGAGGATGCCCTGCATGCCCAGGCTGTAGTGCTCCTTGTAGTGCCAGGCACAGAGCTCCTGTACCCCCCACGGCAGGCGGCCCCCTCCCAGGAGATAACACAGCCCTTCCCACCGGGGGACACAGCCAAAGGATGCCTGGAAGCAGTGAGGGGCAGGAATGGGCTGGTTGCAAAGCCTGTAGCCAAGCAACAACGCCAGAACCAGCAAATTCAGCTGGAATAGGGAAGTCAGGTAAAGGCCTGAGCATGTGAGAATGGGGAGAAATGGTTAAATCCAGACTGGTGTCCTGTGCTGTGAAACACCCGGCTGTGCACTCGCTCGGTGGGAAGCAGCCACGGCCAACCTGTCCCTCTCTGTACAGACAGTATTCCTTAGGCTGTTCCCTGCTAATTGCTCACTGTCCGCCACGGGCCGATGTGTGGGTTGTGTCCCCTCACGTTGGGGGGGTCCCGTGTGCAGTGAGTGCCAGGGCACAGCCAGGGGAGGTGGCAGGAAAGGTCTTCCCATGGAATCATAGAGTTGGCCGGGCTGGAAGGGACCTTTCAGATCATCAAGTCCAACCATCAACCCAACACTGCCAAACCCACCACTGACCCATGTCCCTCAGCACCACGTCTGCCCGGATTTTAAACCCCTCCAGGGATGGGGACTCCACCACTGCCCTGGGCAGCCTCTGCCAAGGCTTCACAGCCCTTTCAGTGTAGAAATTTCCCAATCTCCATCCTAAACCTCCCCTGGGGCAACTTGAGGCCATTTCTTCTTGTCCCGTGGCCTGTTCCTGGGGAGAAGAGACCGACCTCCCCTGGCTACACCCTCCTTTCAAGGAGTTGTAGAGAGTGATAAGGTCTCCCCTCAGCCTCCTCTTCTTCAGACTGAACACCCCCAGCTCCCTCAGCCTCTCCTCACAAGACTTGTGCTCCAGACCCCTCACCAGCTCCATTGCCCTAATGGGTCAGGGCTTTCCTCATCCCCCAGCCCCAGACGAGGGCAGGAGGAAGGTCAGGAAAGCCAGCCCTGTTGGGGAAGGCCAGTGGGTCACAGCTCTCCCCATCCCGCCCCACAGGACCAGAAGTTCAACTACACCTGGCTGCGGCTGATCCAGCACAGGGAGCTCTGCCTCGCTCTGACCAGCACCGCAGGAGCTCTGGGGCTACAACGCTGCCAGGGAGGGAGCCACAGCCCCACCTGGCTCCACAAGTCACTGGCCACCACCCAGCCAGACCTGGTAAGTGAAGCACTGGTGGCCCACCGGTCCCTGGTTTGGCTCCACGTGGTGGTGGGCAAGGTGTGCCGCATAGTTTGGTGGTCCCAGCTTCGGCAAAGCCATCTTTGGTCCCAAACAGGGGGCCGAAAGCCAGCTTTGGTCCCGTACAAGGTGGTCTCAGCTTTGGCAAAGCCATCTTTGGTCCCATGCAAGGGCCCAAAAGCCAGCTTTGGTCCCGTACAAGGTGGTCTCAGCTTTGGCAAAGCCATCTTTGGTCTATGCAACGGGCTGAAAGCCAGCTTTAGTCCCATACAAGGTGGTCCTAGCTTTGGCGAAGCCATCTTTGGTCCCATGCAAGGGCCCAAAAGCCAGCTTTGGTCCCGTACAAGGTGGTCCCAGCTTTGGCAAAGCCATCTTTGGTCCCATGCAAGGGCCCAAAAGCCAGCTTTGGTCCCGTACAAGGTGGTCCCAGCTTTGGCAAAGCCATCTTTGGTCCCATGCAAGGGCCCAAAAGCCAGCTTTGGTCCCGTACAAGGTGGTCCCAGCTTTGGCAAAGCCATCTTTGGTCCCATGCAAGGGGCCAAAAGCCAGCTTTGGTCCCGTACAAGGTGGTCCCAGCTTTGGCAAAGCCATCTTTGGTCCCATGCAAGGGGCCAAAAGCCAGCTTTGGTCCCGTACAAGGTGGTCCCAGCTTTGGCAAAGCCATCTTTGGTCCCATGCAAGGGGCCAAAAGCCAGCTTTGGTCCCGTACAAGGTGGTCCCAGCTTTGGCAAAGCCATCTTTGGTCCCATGCAAGGGGCCAAAAGCCAGCTTTCGTCCCGTACAAGGTGGTCCCAGCTTTGGCAAAGCCATGTTTAAAAGCTGAGTCGGTTAATTAAGTTCAGTGCTGGTCCCCTGGCCTGGGTCCCACCACCTTTCCCCATGGGGATGGTGGCACACACCCTGCGTTGGGCTCCATCAGTCCCAGGGACATGAGCCCCGTGCCCCGGCACCGTGAGCCAGGACGGGGAGACGCCAGCCGTGCCGAGGCACTGGCTCCGGCAGGGCTCTGCGGTAACAAAACGTCCCCGTTTTACATAGAAACCATCAATAGCACTTACACAGAGATTATCTGATATTGATTGGCATTCAGCTCACAGTGGTTTTGTAAAAGAAAACATTTATGAAGAGGGGAAGAATGGGTACTTACATTTATTACCCGCACTGCAGAAAGCAGGAGTTGCGACTGTATCTCTGACAGCCTGGTGTAAGTAATTGTCCAAAATGCTGTGAAATGGCATTCTTTACATTTAAGAAAGAAATAGTCTTAATTTAAGGAAGAGAAAATGCAGCGAAGTTATACAATCATCATATCGACAAGTGCCCATTCCGCTTTAGTCTGAAAAAGTAAAACTTTCCAAGCCAGAGCGCCGCAACGCCAAAGCTCACAAAGGCCAGGGTGTTTTGTGAAAAACAGATGAAAATTGTCATCCACTTAGGAGTGCAGACAGCGCTGTCGGTGCCCAGGCAGTGTTTGTCTCCTGTTCCAGCCTGTGCTCACCTCCAGCCCCTGGTCAGAGCCGTTCGGTCGGTTCTCTGCCGGAGCAAGGGGCCACTCCGGCCACAGCAGTGTCTGGCACTGCCACCGCACCTGGGGACAGGGGACCTCAGTCCATATGGGACATCAGCCATGACCGGTGCCAGGAATGGGAAGTCTGAGGAGCAGCTCAGTGGCTGAAGGAGTTGGGGTGCTTCACCCTTCTGTTGTCACAGTCATTGTGTCGTATTAGTCAGAAATATGTGCTGGCAGCCCAGAAACCCCCCGCAACCTGGGCTGCACCCCCAGCAGCGTGGGCACCAGGGCAAGGGGGGGCATTCTGCCCCTCTGCTCTGCTCTGGGGAGACCCCCCCAAGTGCTGCCTCCAGCTCTAGGGCCACCAACAGCAGAAGGACATGGAGCTGTTGGAGCGGGGTGGCCATGGAGATGCTGGGAGGGCTGGAGCCCCTCTGCTGGGAGGACAGGCTGAGAGAGTTGGGGGGTTCAGCCTGGAGAAGAGAAGGCTCCGGGGAGACCTTGGAGCCCCTTCCAGTCCCTCAAGGGGCTGCAGGAAAGCTGGGGAGGGACTCTGGATCAGGGAGGGGAGCCCTAGGAGGAGGGGGAAGGGTTTGACCCTGAAAGAGGGGAGATGGAGCTGAGCTGTGGGGAAGAAGTTCTTTGGTGTGAGGGTGGTGAGAGCCTGGCCCAGGTTGCCCCGAGAAGCTGTGGCTGCCCCATCCCTGGAGGGGTTGAAGGGCAGGTTGGAGGGGGCTTGGAGCAAGCTGGTGTGGTGGGAGGTGTCCCTGCCCAGGGCAGGGGCTGGCACTGGGTGGCCTTTAAGGTCCCTTCCCACCCGAAGCATTCTTATGATGAATGATGTGAAGTGCATTTACTATATGCACAGAGATCCAGCTTTTCCCCAGACAGCACTGTACCTGTGGTTTCAGGGGTATTTCACCTAGACACTAACCAAATGACAGTGCTGGGCGGTGACACCACAGTGTCCCTTACCTTTGGCAGCACGGGCAGCATCACTTGCTGGCCACGTGGGTTAAGCAGATCGAGCCGGGAAGATGTGAAAAGCAAAAAGATGGAGATCACTCAGAGTCTTCATTCTTTCATACCCCAGTTCACTGCCCCGGCATTTGAACTTCATCGCTGAGTTACCGAACATCCTTTTCAGGGCAGTAGATGGGCTTTGAGCTCATCAGCCGAGAAACTCCACAATATGGCAATCAGCCTCCTGCCATACGTTCCCCTGTATTGCACATACCATCTGGAGCGATTTCCTTTGCATGGTAATTACCGCTCGGACAGCGAGAGAGCTAATCTTTCCATTGCCAGTGAAGGAAAAGCCACGGAGCAGGGGAGGGACGGCCCGATCCTGGCTCAGCAGCAGGTTCAGGCTTTGGCTCCCACCCAAAACTCCCTGTAAGTCAGCGAAGAGATCTTACCTATCAGGGAAAGGCAGGGGGGGGAAAAAGGGCACGCCGTGAAGAATCGAACTTTCTGAGTGGAAAAGCACAAGCTGCTGCCGTGTGAGCTGTGGTACCTAAATCCCTCTCTCTCCCCTGCTGCAGACGGAGCACATCGTCTGGGAGCACCTCCAGCAGCCGGCGTGCTTGGAAGTGGATCCCTCGCACGGGGCCCCGAGGGTGACCGCCTGCGACTCCGCAAATCCTTATCAAAAGTGGCAGTTTGGCAATTACCACGCAGACTGAAGGGGGCTCAGCTGAACCAGAAAGGCCGGGCTTTCATCTCACGCGTTCCGCAAGGGCAGCCCTGCCACTTGTGACAGCAGTTAGAAAACTGGAAGTTCCTTTCCAAATGGTGACTGAAATCTGTGATTTAACCCAGCGTATCGAGAGAATACCAAGAGCAGCACATCTGGTTTCAAGATGTCTGAAACAGGTAGGCGTGTTTTTCCCTCACTGTGGAAGACTTTGGCAAAAACTCAAAAATTTTTCTGTATTATTAAATGGAAATATTTTCTGAAGTCTCCCATCCTACCGTAAACAAACCTTCATCAGTCCCCCCCCGGACAACAGCAGAAGCTACAGAAATACTTGCAGGGCTCTCTAGTCTATAACCAGCAAATTGGGCTGCTTATTCTTCCCCAGCCTGAGAAAATGGATGTTTATTGACCAGCGCATTAAAAAAATCCATCCGACATGCCCGCGCTGGGTTTGGCCGCAGGATCCTGCCCTGTGGGACCCGTTGCCTCTGACAGATGAGGATCAGGGTTCCGTTGGGCATCGATCGCTGATCGGAAAAAGCCTCCTTTTAATAATGGGAGGCAAATGTGGGTCGATGAGCTGCCCAGCAGAGGAGGGGGACGGGAGGCAGCAGAAGAAAAAAGGAGCAAGCCTTCCCCGGGCACAGCGAGGACGTGTGTCCTCGTCCCAGGGCGGCCAGGCTGTCCCCACCTGGGGATGGTGGGGTCCCCTGAACCCCCATGGCTTTTTGGGGCTCCCCAGGAACCCACTGCCACTTTCCTTGGCCGGGGCGTGGGGTTGTGCTGGTGCCTGTGCCAGATCCCCGTGGTGCATCCCTGAGCAGCATCCCCCTGACCATGGTGGAGGGAGGGCAGAGACCCCCAGCAGGACGTCTCACAGCCCAAAACTTCTACCTGCCGGCGCTCAGGGTGGGTGAAAACAGCCGTGGAACTCAGTGGGGGGCTCAGGAAGGGCTGCAGAACACACGTGTGTGTGTGGGCACACGCTTTTCACGGGGGCCCTGGTCATGGTGAGCCACTGGGCAGCATGGGGGGGCCGAGCTGTGCATGCCCCTCCAAACTTCCCATCGTGGGCACATGTTTTTTTCTTGCTGTGAAATGTTTTATCTGCAAAAACCGTCACTGGTTTCTGAAGAGGTGTAGTTGATGGGAGACTCAGCTGGGGTCTGGGATGGGTGACACCAGCGTGTCCCGGGTGGGATTCCTTCCCTGGTTTCTGCTGGGAAGTTCCTGCCGTGGTGGCCCATGTTCTCAGAACACCTCCCACCTCTCTGATTGTTCAGAAGTCCCCGGTGTCCCCCTGCCTGTCCCCCTGCCTGTCCCCCTGCCAATCGGGGCCCACGGCACCTGATGGGCTGAGGCTGCTGAAATGCTGACTGCCCCAATGGATTTTCCCCGGTTGGCTCCTGTTCCAGCAGATTCCCTCCCGCTGTGCCGGCGCGGCCAGCCTGCTGTCACTGGCCGGGAAATGGCAGGGGCCTCCTTTGTGCCGTCACCACTCGTCAGCAGCCTGAGCCTCAGCAAATCCTGTCTGCTGACATTCCCCGGCCTGTCACCCCGCGGGCACCCACGGGCCCTGTGTCACCCTCACCTCCCATCGCCCACCTTGGCACTCGTGCCCCCCTTGGGCCCGTGCTCGCTTCCACCCGGGTGTCTCCCGCTGCCGGAGGGGATGGTGCCGGGGGGCTGCTGGCAGTGAGACATGGCCCTGCTCTCACACACCCCCGAGGAGCCTGCCCGTCCTACCAGCCGGCCTTTTTGGCCAGAAATGAACATTCTTTCCCTGGGGCGCGCGGCAGCCGCGGTGATGGGTGTCTCTCTGCTCCCCCTTCTATCCACACCAGGGATGCATTGCATCCCAGAGGTCTGGGGGGGCCATGGAGGCTTTGTGAGGGTTAAAGAAAGGGGGAAGGCTCCAGGGGTAGGAAGGACCACGGCTGGGGCTGGGGACGGGAGCTGCCATCGTCCCCAGTGTCGGCAACGGGAAAAATGCAGCTTTTCCCACCGTGAAGTGGTGCCCCTGGAGCTGTGGGCAAGGCATGTTGTGATGTGCCTCCATCCATAGGTGGCCTCCGTCGAAGTGGTGGCAGTTGGAGGCCCTGTTTGGTTTGTTTAATAGAAAGAGAAGTTTAAAAAAGAAGGGAATAAATAATAATAGATGAAGCTTCTTCATCTATTTCTCTTCTTCTTCTCTAAGCCCTGTGTATTACCTCTGTCTCTGACTGATTCAGACCCTTTCCAGGGACTCTCCTGCCCTGGGAACTGCCAGGCTGGACCCCAAAACATCACCCTTCAGAAGAACCTTTAAAACCACCCATTTCCCCTGCTTTAGGGCTGTGCTTTGGGTGCCCAATTAGCGCGCTATTAGAGCAGCAACAGCAACAGCCGGTGCCAGCTGCTGTGCCCTGCAGCTGCTGCAGATGTTGTGGCAACCAGCACGTTTCTGCCGGAATGCTGTAATTCCCACTCAAATGGAGCACACAGCAACCCTGGAAACACCTCCCAGGGGGGAGCTGGCATCGTGTGGCACTGCCTGGAGAGGGTGGAAGAGCACCTCGACCCTCCAAAGTGCCTCCATCCCCCTCGTGGCTGCCCTCAGCCCTCCTCCGGCCCCGTTCTCCACTGGTCAGACTGTGCTTTCTGATGAAAAAAAGTTAAGTCTGAGTTTCCTGACCGCCCCATCGAGGCTCCGTGCTGAGCTGGAACCTGAGCCCACAGTCAGAGCACCCAGCATCGCATCCTGCACCTGCAGGCTGGGGAATGGATTGTAGCTGTCACCTGGGGGTAAGGCAAAAGGTACACGCTGTTACAGACAGGCGGAGGGTAAAGGGAGGAAAAAATTACACTTTTTGCTAAAGTGAGCACAGGGCTTGGCCGGCTGTGCCTCCCCCTGCAGTACGGGGAGAGGGCTTTTCCTGGGGGCCCACACTGCTTAACAGAGGCCACAGAGATGCTGGAGCCCCTCTGCTGGGAGGACGGGCTGAGAGAGTTGGGGGCTTCAACCTGGAGAAGAGAAGGCTCCAGGGAGACTTTTGAGCCCCTTCCAGTCCCTCAAGGGGCTCCAGGAAAGCTGGGGGGGGACTCTGGATGAGGGAGGGGAGCCCTAGGAGGAGGGGGAAGGGTTTGACCCTGAAAGAGGGGAGATGGAGCTGAGATGTGGGGAAGAAGTTCTTGGGTGTGAGGGTGGTGAGAGCCTGGCCCAGGTTGCCCCGAGAAGCTGTGGCTGCCCCATCCCTGGAGGGGTTGAAGGGCAGGTTGGAGGGGGCTTGGAGCAAGCTGGTGTGGTGGGAGGTGTCCCTGCCCAGGGCAGGGGGTGGCACTGGGGGGGCTTTAAGGTCCCTTCCAACCCAAACCATTCCATGACTCTATGATTAAATCCAGCTGCATCCCCAGCATGTCCAGCCCCAGTGGCTTTGCCACCCACAACCTCAGCGGGTCACCGACAGCCCTGGCAATGGTCACACCATGAAGAGAAACTTGTCACCCTTACGGGAACGGCCGGAGGGGTGGGGGGAGTGGGGCAGCTGCTGCAGGCAAACAAACCCCCAGTATAAGTTCGTACAAGCAAAGCTCTGAACTTCCACAGGCCAGAGGGCGAATAAACAAGCCTGAGGGGCACAATGAGGGCTGTGTCTGGTTTGTACAATACAGAATTGCCAGTTATTATTTTCCCATTGCCAATAATAATTGCCTTTATGTATAGAAGAAGAAAAGTCAAAACGATATTCAGTGCTGCTGGCGGTGTAAAACCAGTCCTTAAGAAAATCGTTTATGGCTGGAGGAGGCTCCTGCAGCTGAGGTCACAGCCCGATTCTGCTGTCACCTCCTTTGTCAGCTCTCAGCGTTCCCAGCGCTCGCTGGCAGAGCTCAGTCCCAAAGCAAGACAAATCCTTCTGTAAAATAGTAATAAAAAGACTGCCTTGACAATGCCGTAGTCAAACAATGGGTTTTAGAAATGGAGAAAGGCTGTGTTCAGATGGCACAAACCAAATTACACATAAGAACTTGCCTGCTTCGGAAAAAAAAAAGAGAAAAAAAAAAAAACCACTTTAAAGTTTTGCATTCAAACTTAGCATGAAGATTGAGAATCACAGAATGGTTTGGGTGGGAAGGGACCTTGAAGCCCCACCAGTGCCACCCCCCTGCCCTGGGCAGGGACACCTCCCACCACACCACGTTGCTCCAAGCCCCCTCCAACCTGCCCTTCAACCCCTCCAGGGATGGGGCAGCCACAGCTTCTCGGGGCAACCTGGGCCAGGCTCTCACCAAGGTTACTCCTGGAGATTCAGAGATTCCTGGTCACAACAGATACTTGTTAAGTGACTAACGGCATCCTAAACTTCCCTAAGAGTGTACCTTAGAGTGGTAATCCTTTGGACATAAGCCCTTGGCCAAATCTGGGACCAGGGCTGGATCCAGCTCACCCAGACTCTGCCGAGAAGGAGTTTGTAAAGTCGAGGGGTCCTCTCTGAACCTCAACTCAACGCGGGGGTCTCCGTGGCGGCTGTGGCTGACCCTGTCCTCTGGGCAGTGAACGATCAAGTGTGCCTTCCCATCCAATCCTGCTAAATCGCTACCAAAATCACCGGTTTATATCAATAAATGCATCACTGTTCCTCTCTTACGAGTGAAATGCATCACTGCAGCGTGACACTGCAGCGAGCAGGCAATGTCACGCCTGAAGACACCCAGGCTGAGACCTCTCTCCGCAGCAGCAGCACCCCGTCAGGACCCCCACCAGCCCCGGGAGCTGTTGGGGTGTTGGGGGGGGTGACACCAGCAGGGACGGACGGCAGGACAGAGCGCAGTGCGGTGGCAAACAGTCGTCTCTTTTATTTACACACACATCGTGTGGCATCACCCAGGTGTGGTGCTGCCAGCCCAGTGCCAGCAGGGCTGATGGCACAGGTCACCCCTCTGCGGGCAGCCAGAGGAGCCCCGGCCGGTTCCAGGCATCCCATTGTTGGAAGGCGGTTACAAAAGTTGGGGAAAAAATAAAGAGGGTAAACTTTAAATCAAACGGTATTATATTTAGCAATCTGATTATTAATTTTCCCGCACTATGGATGCCTCTGCCCGCTGTCAAAGCCAAGGTGTTACATTTTCACGGTGTATTATGAAATCATAAACAAAACTAAAAAAAAAAAAAAAAAAGCAGCGACCTCACGGTGTGTGAAGAGACGTGTCTGGGGGGAACAAAAGAGAAAAACAGAGCCCAGAGTGAAGGCTGGGCTCGCTAAGCAATTCTCCGCCTCAGTCTATAAGTGCATCATGGACTCAAATTCATCGATTCGCTGCTTGGTGTTTCCTTTTCTAATCCTCCGGTAGGAAATTGTGTTGTACCTGGAATAGCTGTGTCTGGAGATGTCATTTTTCTTCCCCGGGCTGGGCTGCTCCCCGGGTTTCTCTGCCGGGGAGTTGGGGCCGGGGGGGGCCGGGGCAGAGGGCTCCCTGCCGCTGCCCGCCGGCTCCGGACGGGGCTCCTCGCCCTTCTCCTTCTTCAGTTCGATCACCTGAACTTCATCCTCTTCCGTGTCCACCTCCTCCAGCTCTTCCTCCACCTCCTCCTCCTCCTCCTCGGGGGAGGGAAGAAGAGAGGGATGGAGGGAGGGAGACAAGGAGGGAGAGAAGAATGGAGGGAGGGAGGGAGGGAAGGATGGAGGGAGAGATGGAGAGAGGGAAGAAGAAAGAGGAGCGAAAGAAGGAGGTAGGGATGGAGGGATGGAAGGAGGAAGGGAGGGATAGAGGGATGGAAGGAGGAAGGGGGGGATGGAAAGAAGGAGAGATGGAAGGATGGAGGGAGGGAGAGAGGGAGGGATGGAGGAATGGAAGGAGGGAGGGAAGAAGAGAGGGATGGAGGGAGGGTGACAGGGG